GCAGGGCGGGTAGAGGCAGCCACACGCCAGCCGTGCGTCATCCCACCGCGCCCGTCCACCTCGGTCCACGTGCACCTCCAGCAGCGTCAGGATCAGCCAGCAGCACTCCAGCAGCACTCCCACTGCACCTCCTCTCCTCTGCACCTCCTCTCCTCTGCACCTCCTCTCCTCTGCACCTCCTCTCCTCTGCACCTCCTCTCCTCTGCACCTCCTCTCCTCTGCACCTCCTCTGCAACTCCTGCCCATGCGTTGTGCCCCAGTGTCACGTCAGCCCTGTGCCTCTGCAAGGACGGGGAGGAGAGCACGTGGAGACAAGGAGGTGAGCCAGTGCACGAGAAAAGCGATAGGGACAATGAACCAGCCAGGGCAGAAAATATCCATGGCATTGCTTAAAAAAAAAACAAGGCGGTGAGAGGAGGTGGGAGAGGGTGGCAGGGCCAGCCAGGGTGTGGGGTGGTGAGGGAGAAAACACACATAAGCTGGGCGGGTAGTGAACTCACATAAGCTGGGTCGCAGGTGGGAGAGGGAGCAGTGGTCAGCAGGGCTGCCTGCCGTGCGTCGTCCCACTGCGGCCCTCTGCTGCCTCTGCACCGTGCTTTCTGAGAGGGGAGCAGGTGAGACAACGCTGCCCTTGCTCTGGAAACAGCGGAGAGAGGCAAACAAGAAGAAATAAGGTGTAGGGTCTGAAACGGCGAAATAAGAGTGAATGTGGAAAACGGCGAAACACTGAAGAAACGAGCCCTGTACGATGCGAGAACGGTAGCATGGAAACTGAATTGAAGGTACGGAGAGCAACGTAGGGTCTGAGAGCGACGCACCTGAAAGCAACGCCACGTAGGGTCTGCACGTGGCTGCAGTGCCGCCCGTCGCTGCCTCGCCCGTCACTGCTTTCCCCTCGCTGCTGCCCCCCACATATGGCGTGTGCCGGCCTGTAGGCGTGCAAGCAGAGGATGTGGGCTGGAGGAGAGGGCGGACAAATGATTAGTAAGAGATAGGGAAAACTGACAAGCATACATGCAAGCAAAGGAAAATGCAAAACTGGAAAGCATGCATCAGGTGAAGGTGGTGTGAGTGGCAGTGACAGTGCCAGCGGCAGCGGCAGCAGCAGCAGTGTCAGCGGCAGCGGCAGCGGCAGCGCAGGCAGGGTGGTGGGTGGCAGCTGCAGGGCGGGCACCAAAGGACCGTACCGTACCTGAGCACACCTACTTACGCATGATGCCGCCGTTACCTCAACACACCTGGGGAATGGTCCAATGGTGCCGCCGGTGCGAGCTGGAGGAGGAGGAGCGAGTGGCACGAGGAGGACGAGGCGGCTATGAGGGCGGAAGCGAGCAGTGAACGAAAAGGTGCGAACAAGTGCGTGAAAAAACGAGATATCTTATCCTTATTCAGCAGGCAGGGGTCGAGGCAGCGGCGCCCGCCTCTGTCCTCCTCGCCTCAGCTGTCGCTCCGTCCGCTTCCGCAGTTTGCCGCTCGCCAGCTCCCTTGAGTGCGCCGTGCTCCCTGAGAGGCGAGCAGTGGTCAGCAGGGCAGCAGCAGTGCTGCCTGCCGTGCGTCATCCCACTGCCGCCATCCCACTGCTGCCGTCTGCTGGCTCTGCACGAGAAGCAACCAGGAAGATCGGGAGAGAGAGAGCAGAATCAGCCTCAGAGCGGCAGAGAGAGAGAAAGAGCACAAGCGGAAAACAACAGAAAAGTGTGAAATTTTAGCACAGCAGAGCGACAAGTGAACGGCTGGGGAGGGGTGGGAGGGGGAAGGCGCATGGCGACAGTGGCCCAAGGGCACGATAGCAGCGAGCTAAGGCAGCAAGGGACGAGAGGGACGCGCGCATGCCATGAATGCACTGCTAAGCTATGCTACACCCACTGGACCCTCTCTCTGCTCTGGACTCTACGTGAGCTCGCCTGCCAAAGTGCACCCTGAACCACCAACGCCATGCGCCTTACAAGACAACGTTTCGTTTGGCACGAAAAGAAACGATAGATGCAGAGGGATGAAACGACAAAGGGGCGTGGGGGAAAGGAGCGAGTGCAAGGGGTTGAGGAGGGAACTTAGCGAGGTTCAGTGGCCGCCCGTTGCTTGTTGCCGCGTTCGCCCGCCCGTTTCTGATTCGCCGTTCTCCAGCCGCCGCTCGCCTCCTCAAGTCAGCGTCGCCTCCTCGCCGTGCAGCAGCAGGCCTTGGGCGATCTGCAGAGGTCAGACAAAACAGCATCAGTGACTGAACATTCAAAATTAGAAAACAGGCAACAAAATAATAGAATCTCTCGGGTTTCCACAAATTCAGCGTAACGAATAAAAGCAACTCGGGAATCATCACTCGGAATTTCATAGGAATTCTGAAACAATGCTCGGAATTTCAAAATGCTGAAGCATTGCTTCAACTTACCATGACGGAATGCTTCATAGGAACTTCACAAGCTACGTAGCTTCCTCGCCAGCAGCGTCATTTCTCCGCGCAGCTCCAGGCTGCTGAATCGCACTGACGGTCGCGCAGCTCCAGGCTGCTGAATCGCACTGACGGTCGCGCAGCTCCAGGCTGCTGAATAGCACTGACGGTGCAGCAGCACTCGTTATTCAACTGCAGCAGCGGTGGCCGAACCCTCCGTTCTTCAGCAGGCCCTTGGGTCACCTGCACATCATCAAATCACCTTGTGAGCATTCAGGGATCGAACAAAATAAAGATTAACGAAGAATCACTAAAGGTTTCAACACGCAAAGCGCTGGAAGATTGCTTTGAAAAAATGCTTTAACTCATCATGGCGAACTGAACGGTGAGTATCCATGTGTGTATATCATGGACCACGGAACGACGTAATCGCGCTTCGTCGTCGGATTCGTATGGACGTCGTCAGATGCATCGTCGGACTGGCATGCGGAAGTCGCCAGCATCCGCAACGTCGCTCGCGGTTGGTCGCCATTATCCTCAAATCGTTGCATGCGGAAAATCTGTAGGAATCACAGTCGCTCTTGAGGTGATATTGCTGTTTGAGCCTCCCGGGATTAATCTAGATAGATATCATCTTAGCGGAACCTCCAGAACGTGTAAAACTAAACCACCGCGAAAAGCACGCTGTATCGAGAAAACTACTTCCCCACCAAATTCAGTTCTGTAAACGAACCGTTTTACTCCAAGCAGAAGGGGATCATGGAGACTGAGACAATACTGAATCCATGGCGAGATGAGAAGACATGGCGACGGGAGCCACGGTGAAAATACATGGACGGTACTTTTTACGAGCTTCATGGCGGCCTTGAGGTCTGGTGAGTAGAGCAGTCGGAACAATGGAGGTGTGGGAATGTGGGAGAACACGGAGTGGAAGGCCTTGGGAATCTGGGATTGTCGCTTGACGAGGGTGACCAGCGTCAACCCACAGTGGTGATTCTCCCTTGCTGGGTGAGGGGGTGGTGCTGCCTCAAGGGTGACCAGCGTCAACCCAAAGCGGGGAGTCTCGCTCGCTGGGTGAGGGGTGTTGGCTCGACGGTGACCAGGGTCAAACATAAGTGGTGTCAGTGGGTGGGGAAGGATTGCGCCAGGCGGAGCGCGGGTGACAGAAAGTGGCGGGGGGAGAGGTGGGTTCGCGCGTCAAACGGCATTTTTTTTGTTTTTTTGGGGTAGAAAGAGATCTCTCGGGAAAGGAAAGAGTGTTCGGTAAGGAAGTCAAAGCGCTGAGTTTTACAAGAAACTGGTGACAAGCGGCAATAACCAGGGCACTTGGCACCCGAATGAATCGGCTATTTTCTACTCTGGGATGCGTGGAAAACATTTCGCCGGTAGTATGCGGATGTGAATTTGACATCAGCGGAGCGCGGGGTTCAGTGACGGGCCCGCGCGCCAGATGTGTCTGCGCGCCAAGTTTCACTGCGGGAACTGGCGCAGTAACCTTGCGCACTGACTTCAAATCATGAGGTTCGCCTGAAGATGGTGAACACGGAAACACAGTTCGCGAATCAGCGACGATTTTGCACACCAACGTGCGAAGCGGGAATATGTGCGCTGAGCGGGTGTTTGCGCGGTTGTCAGACTAACCTAGGTGACGGCGGAGCTTTAGCGGTTCTCCCTAGAAATCATCTCCCCTCATGATGTTGATCGGACGGCTGAGCTTATGCTTGTGAAGCTATCCTCGCCACCTCTACAATGAAATGAAATAGCAACTGTAGAAAATTCAATTCAACAGAAATTTTCACAGATAGGATACGAAAGTTGATTTACATTCAAATTGGTAGTGTTTATAATCCCGTGTCGAACGATCATTGAACAAAATGTTTGCCTGCAATATGTTGATGTAGGCACTAATTTGCCGGCAAACATTTTTTTGTTTACATTCAAATTGGTAGTGTTTATAATCCCGCTTCAAACGATCATTGAACAAAATGTTTGCTTGCAATATGTTGATGCAATACTTAGCTGCACACCTCCCTTAATCCTCCTGAGATTAATTAAGGATGTGGGCATGTAGTTCTTTTTCATAATCTCATACTATCTGATGCAACTGGATTGTCTAGATGTCATGTCTGTAGGAAAGCATCTCCAAGCTACTGAGAGTTGATCTCATTTCCAGCGATAATGAAGCTCCACCACTTGGCCGCTTTCCGGTTAGCCGTTTATCCTCGCCGCCCATGTAACTCTTCTCCACGTTAGTTACTTTGAAATCACGAGACAGTTCGCTATAGATCGAAGCAAGGCACCAGAAATTACCAGCAACAGCGCGACGGACATACCAGTGCAGACACGGATTTTTATCTAGTTGTAAATGCATTGAAGCTCCGGTAAGATATCGGGTGAAGGGATCAACACAAAATTGTTGTCTGATGCTGAATCCGACCCAGCACAATCAAGTTACCAATGAGAGTCAATCCATTCCAGATCCAGAAGAGGCGGCCACAAACCACAACCCACAGTGAGGGGACGAATAAACTAGCTATAGTGTAAAGAATGCACATGGTCTCGCAATATGTCCAGGAAGCGAGCCTTGGTGAAGACCAGTAGTCGTCCTAAGTTCTTACTCAACCGCCCTTGACTGGGCGTTGCGGATTATTTGGAAAAGAGCTGCACAGCCCAAGAAAAAACAAAATTGTAGTCTTATTCCGTTGGTAAATAAATTTAAATTCATTTGCGTTTACGTTAGCAGTTACACACTTACACGAGCCAATGACAACGAAGATGAAGAAACCGAGAACCCAGACGCTGACGGGAAACTTCTCACTCCGTTTCGTGGCACTATCAGGAACGTTCCCTCGTTTCGTGATGTTCTTGTGAAAAGCGGAGTTCTTCTTCTCAGCCAATCGCTTGGAAGTCGTCTGCAAGACCAAGGTGGACGTTCGTTGTCAGATTCTAACCAGAGAAGTCAACCGATCAAGAACACGCACGAAGCCCAGAAGAAGTACTAACCATTCTGGACGAATCGTTAACACACTGAGGAGGCAAACGAACTCCAAGCTAACAGGAAAGGCTGAGAGAAACGGCGTGAGAAACTAGAAGCTGGTGAGCTGAATGAACTAAAAGCTGTTGGCGGGTCTAGCTATGAATGCGAATTTATCCCTCCCTCGCTGATTGCCAGCGGGGACCAGACTACGCCTGCCTGCTCCTTCTTCTCCGAAGCATTGAAGCAGAACAGCTGGGAAGCAGGTTCGACTTGGCGGGAAGGCCTGCTCACCTACCACACCAACCAACCACCAACCGCCGCTGCAAGGCTCGGCCTTGGCTTTGGCGGTGACGAACGCGTCCGAGGTTCAAGGACTGGACGACGCATGCGAGGGATTCGGGAAAACCAACGATCTGGTCGGGAACGACGCACATGATTCGAGCGATTCGTCAAACCTTCCAGAAACACGTTTGTGCGACTCAAACAGTCGTCGTCGCATGTGCAGAGTTGACGGTTTCGGTTCAAGCATATCACCGGCACGGTTTGACTGCCAAATCTCGCTACAGATGAGACAACACAAACCGATATAGTACTTGAGCCGATTTCTGATATATAACTTCCCCAACATACCAAAGGAAACATTTCAGTAGTATGGCGTTGAAAAGAGATTTCATGAAACAAATGCACAAGCGTAAAAGCCGCATATTTACATGTGTAATTTACATCCTTGAACCATACTACCATCCTAAATGAACTAAAAAGTTGTAAACACCGCCAATCTACCACCTAGACGAATGCTCAATGTGAATCATCTTTCGTATACCTATCTGTGAAAGTCTCTGTTGAATTGAAGTTTCTACAGTTGCTATTTCATTTCATTGTAGAGGTGGCGAGGTTGACCCCACAATATCTACCTGTACTGAATGATGACGTCAGATGGGCCCACAAGCTTAAAGCTCTAGGCCCAAATTGCACAAGATTACTAGTCTTGCGTGGTGAGGGGTGGGTTTGGGAACGTGGGGGTCGAGGGGAGTGTTGGGAAGGTGACCTGTCGGATTTCGCCCGTAACACTTGTTTTTTTCGCTGAGTCAGCGAGCTTCCGGGGGAAACGTGAGTTTGGGGACCTCGAGTCCCAAATTGCAGAGTAGTAAAACTCGATGTTTTGGCAGTGAGTTTTGGTTCGACCAATCAGATTGCATCGCACCTACTGTAACCAAATTTTCGCCACACACCAGCACAGAAAACGAGAAGTGTGCAAGATTACTAATCTTGCCCTGCGCGGCCCGCAATTTGGGCCTTGAGCTTTAAGCTCAGCAGTCCGATCAACATCTTGAGGGGAGATGATTTCTAGGGAGAACCGCTAAAGCTCCGCCATCACCTAGGTTAGTCTGACAACCGCGCAAACACCCGCTCAGCGCACATATTCCCGCTTCGCACTTTGGTGTGCAAAATCGTCGCTGATTCGCGAACTGTGTTTCCGTGTTCACCATCTTCAGGCGAACCTCATGATTTGAAGTCAGTGCGCAAGGTTACTGCGCCAGTTCCCGCAGTGAAACTTGGCGCGCAGACACATCTGGCGCGCGGGCCCGTCACTGAACTCCGCGCTCCGCTGATGTCAAATTCACATCCGCATGCTGCCGGCGAAATGTTTTCCACGCATCCCGGAGTAGAAAATTGCCGATTCATTTGGGTGCCAAGTGACCAGGTTATTGCCGCTTGTCACCAGGTTCTGGTAAAACTCAGCGCTTTGACTTCCTTACCGAACACTCTTTCCTTTCCCGAGAGATCTCTTTCTACCCCAAAAAAAACAAAAAAAATGCCGTTTGACGCGCGAACCCACCTCTCCCCCCGCCACTTTCTGTCACCCGCGCTCCGCCTGGCGCAATCCTTCCCCACCCACTGACACCACTTATGTTTGACCCTGGTCACCGTCGAGCCAACACCCCTCACCCAGCGAGCGAGACTCCCCGCTTTGGGTTGACGCTGGTCACCCTTGAGGCAGCACCACCCCCTCACCCAGCAAGGGAGAATCACCACTGTGGGTTGACGCTGGTCACCCTCGTCAAGCGACAATCCCAGATTCCCAAGGCCTTCCACTCCGTGTTCTCCCACATTCCCACACCTCCATTGTTCCGACTGCTCTACTCACCAGACCTCAAGGCCGCCATGAAGCTCGTAAAAAGTACCGTCCATGTATTTTCACCGTGGCTCCCGTCGCCATGTCTTCTCATCTCGCCATGGATTCAGTATTGTCTCAGTCTCCATGATCCCCTTCTGCTTGGAGTAAAACGGTTCGTTTACAGAACTGAATTTGGTGGGGAAGTAGTTTTCTCGATACAGCGTGCTTTTCGCGGTGGTTTAGTTTTACACGTTCTGGAGGTTCCGCTAAGATGATATCTATCTAGATTAATCCCGGGAGGCTCAAACAGCAATATCACCTCAAGAGCGACTGTGATTCCTACAGATTTTCCGCATGCAACGATTTGAGGATAATGGCGACCAACCGCGAGCGACGTTGCGGATGCTGGCGACTTCCGCATGCCAGTCCGACGATGCATCTGACGACGTCCATACGAATCCGACGACGAAGCGCGATTACGTCGTTCCGTGGTCCATGATATACACACATGGATACTCACCGTTCAGTTCGCCATGATGAGTTAAAGCATTTTTTCAAAGCAATCTTCCAGCGCTTTGCGTGTTGAAACCTTTAGTGATTCTTCGTTAATCTTTATTTTGTTCGATCCCTGAATGCTCACAAGGTGATTTGATGATGTGCAGGTGACCCAAGGGCCTGCTGAAGAACGGAGGGTTCGGCCACCGCTGCTGCAGTTGAATAACGAGTGCTGCTGCACCGTCAGTGCTATTCAGCAGCCTGGAGCTGCGCGACCGTCAGTGCGATTCAGCAGCCTGGAGCTGCGCGACCGTCAGTGCGATTCAGCAGCCTGGAGCTGCGCGGAGAAATGACGCTGCTGGCGAGGAAGCTACGTAGCTTGTGAAGTTCCTATGAAGCATTCCGTCATGGTAAGTTGAAGCAATGCTTCAGCATTTTGAAATTCCGAGCATTGTTTCAGAATTCCTATGAAATTCCGAGTGATGATTCCCGAGTTGCTTTTATTCGTTACGCTGAATTTGTGGAAACCCGAGAGATTCTATTATTTTGTTGCCTGTTTTCTAATTTTGAATGTTCAGTCACTGATGCTGTTTTGTCTGACCTCTGCAGATCGCCCAAGGCCTGCTGCTGCACGGCGAGGAGGCGACGCTGACTTGAGGAGGCGAGCGGCGGCTGGAGAACGGCGAATCAGAAACGGGCGGGCGAACGCGGCAACAAGCAACGGGCGGCCACTGAACCTCGCTAAGTTCCCTCCTCAACCCCTTGCACTCGCTCCTTTCCCCCACGCCCCTTTGTCGTTTCATCCCTCTGCATCTATCGTTTCTTTTCGTGCCAAACGAAACGTTGTCTTGTAAGGCGCATGGCGTTGGTGGTTCAGGGTGCACTTTGGCAGGCGAGCTCACGTAGAGTCCAGAGCAGAGAGAGGGTCCAGTGGGTGTAGCATAGCTTAGCAGTGCATTCATGGCATGCGCGCGTCCCTCTCGTCCCTTGCTGCCTTAGCTCGCTGCTATCGTGCCCTTGGGCCACTGTCGCCATGCGCCTTCCCCCTCCCACCCCTCCCCAGCCGTTCACTTGTCGCTCTGCTGTGCTAAAATTTCACACTTTTCTGTTGTTTTCCGCTTGTGCTCTTTCTCTCTCTCTGCCGCTCTGAGGCTGATTCTGCTCTCTCTCTCCCGATCTTCCTGGTTGCTCCTCGTGCAGAGCCAGCAGACTGCAGCAGTGGGATGGCGGCAGTGGGATGACGCACGGCAGGCAGCACTGCTGCTGCCCTGCTGACCACTGCTCGCCTCTCAGGGAGCACGGCGCACTCAAGGGAGCTGGCGAGCGGCAAACTGCGGAAGCGGACGGAGCGACAGCTGAGGCGAGGAGGACAGAGGCGGGCGCCGCTGCCTCGACCCCTGCCTGCTGAATAAGGATAAGATATCTCGTTTTTTCACGCACTTGTTCGCACCTTTTCGTTCACTGCTCGCTTCCGCCCTCATAGCCGCCTCGTCCTCCTCGTGCCACTCGCTCCTCCTCCTCCAGCTCGCACCAGCGGCACCATTGGACCATTCCCCAGGTGTGTTGAGGTAACGGCGGCATCATGCGTAAGTAGGTGTGCTCAGGTACGGTACGGTCCTTTGGTGCCCGCCCTGCAGCTGCCACCCACCACCCCGCCTGCGCTGCCGCTGCCGCTGCCGCTGACACTGCTGCTGCTGCCGCTGCCGCTGGCACCGTCACTGCCACTCACACCACCTTCACCTGATGCATGCTTTCCAGTTTTGCATTTTCCCTATCAGTTTTCCCTACCTCTTACTAATCATTTGTCCGCCCTCTCCTCCAGCCAACATCCTCTGCTTGTCAGTTTTCCCTATCTCTTACTAATCATTTGTCCGCCCTCTCCTCCAGCCCACATCCTCTGCTTGCACGCCTACAGGCCGGCACACGCCATACGTGGGGGGCAGCAGCGAGGGGAAAGCAGTGACGGGCGAGGCAGCGACGGGCGGCACTGCAGCCACGTGCAGACCCTACGTTGCGTTGCTTTCAGGTGCGTCGCTCTCAGACCCTACGTTGCTCTCCGTACCTTCAATTCAGTTCCCGTGCTACCGTTCTCGCATCGTACAGGGCTCGTTTCTTCAGTGTTTCGCCGTTTTCCACATTCACTCTTTTCTTCCTACACCTTATTTCTTCTTGTTTGCCTCTTTCCGCTGTTTCCAGAGCAAGGGCAGCGTTGTCTCACCTGCTCGCCTCTCAGAAAGCACGGTGCAGAGCCAGCAGAGGGCCGCAGTGGGACGACGCACGGCAGGCAGCCCTGCTGACCACTGCTCCCTCTCCCACCTGCGACCCAGCTTATGTGAGGTCACTACCCGCCCAGCTTATGTGTTTTTTTCTCCCTCACCACCCCACACCCTGGCCGGCCCTGCCACCCTCTCCCACCTCCTCTCACCGCCTTGTTTTTATTTTGAAGCAATGCCATGGATGTTTTCTGCCCTGGCTGGTTCATTGTCCCTATCGCTTTTCTTGTGCACTGGCTCACCTCCTTGTCTCCACGTGCTCTCCTCCCCGTCCTTGCAGAGGCACAGGGCTGACGTGACACTGGGGCACAACGCATGGGCAGGAGTTGCAGAGGAGGTGCAGAGGAGAGGAGGTGCAGAGGAGAGGAGGTGCAGAGGAGAGGAGGTGCAGAGGAGAGGAGGTGCAGAGGAGAGGAGGTGCAGAGGAGAGGAGGTGCAGAGGAGAGGAGGTGCAGAGGAGAGGAGGTGCAGAGGAGAGGAGGTGCAGAGGAGAGGAGGTGCAGAGGAGAGGAGGTGCAGTGGGAGTGCTGCTGGAGTGCTGCTGGCTGATCCTGGCGCTGCTGGAGGTGCACGTGGACCGAGGTGGACGGGCGCGGTGGGATGACGCACGGCTGGCGTGTGGCTGCCTCTACCCGCCCTGCT